AGGAATGCTTTCGTCAAATTTTTTTTGGTTTTCATCTTAGTTTCCATAGTCTTTGAATGGGGGCAGAAGCCAGTTTAAACACGGATAAGCAGTATCTCAAAACAATGGAATAGTATTGTCACCATGACATGTTGGTCTTTTAATTGGAATATGCGTGCAATCTATTGCTCCTATTATGCCTGGTATTCCATGCTTTTCTTCGAACTTCTTCATAACATCGGCTGCAATTGATCTTCTTGGCCACATAATATATTCATGGCTTATTGATATCAAGAAGCCTGTTACATGCCGGACTGTACCCCAAGCCACTGATATTGCAACACCAAAAAGATTTGCCAGCTGTCTGTAAGTAACTGTATTACATATAAGTGTACATATAAATTGATTTTCTGCATCCCACGCGTTGTCTTCCACCAATAAATTGATTTGGAAAGTACTCAGACTGTGAAAACAGTGCTGAAATAAATATGTTATAATTATTTAAGACACTTTAGTTTACAACCTTCGTACTTATAATGACTTCTATCGTTTCTCGTTGTAGTCGGAAATGCTGTTTAAAGTCCTGAGCACTCATAGCTTCAATAGTAGATTCAAAACAGGAACATTTTTCATGTTGCTCCGGTTCTGAATCCGATTCAGACGAACTTGCACTTTCAAATATGTCAAGAACTTCTTTCACTCTATTTTCATACTCAATTCTTTTTAGTTTACCACTTTTTTCTGTTAACATAGAAAAAGCCTGAAAAAAAACAAATTTTATTCACAATCATTTAAAAAATGAAATTTTCTTACCAATAATTGCAAAGAATTATTCATTTTGTTAATTTTCACTTTAAATTTTATTATGTGTTTTGCAAATACAAACAAAATTTCCAGTTTTTCCAGAGTTGCCATCGAAAGTAGTGTTTATTTTATTTGTTCTTTTGTGACATGCTTACAAAAGAAAACGCCTATTATTACAAGGAAGCATATGATAAGCAGGTAGTAAGAAATTAATATACTGCAACCCCAAAAGAGAGTAATTTGATGTTATCGTGGTAAAATCACATGTATTCCATACGTGTGCCAAAATTTTATAAATTTCTCTCCGTTTCGATGGAAGTGGGCGGAGTTTCCGTTCTTTTCTTTGCTAATAAGCAGCTCAAAACACATGGTTGCCAACACTGAAAACTACTCTATTGTGAACGATTATTGGAAGTACGTACAAAATTTCTAGTTATCTGTCAACGAATGATTTCGGTAATTGTTCGTGTTTCTTGTCGTCATTGTTCGTAACAAATATGTCATTTGTTCCATGTATTATTTAACTGTTAAAAGATACGGAAAATTATATTTTATTTATAATCATGTAAAAAAAGATATTCTCATCAATAATTGCAAAGAATTATTATTCATTTTCGAAATTTCAACTATAAATTTTATTACACATTTATTACCCTTATAAGCCGAACAAAGTCGCCACTTTGGCCAGAGTTGCCATTGAGTAGTGCTTATTTTATTAGTTCTTTTGTGACATGCTTACAAAACAAAAACGTTTAATGTAATCTAAAATTCTAAATATATGTACATTGACTTCCCTAAGAGATGTTACCTTTTACTGTCAATGTATTTTTTAAGTAGCGTATACTCATAGTAGAAAAATATGCGTTCACCGACAAAATTTTTCTTAAATTTCGCATCTTTTTTAATTTTTACTCAGTTTGATTTTTGTTTTCTGATATATTTTAACCAAAGAAACAGCAATAAAGTTCAAACATAAAAAACTAACAAAAAAAATTAAACACAGTTGTATGCAAAAGCAATAGCTTTTGAAGCAGAAAACACAATAATGTAATTAAATGATATTTAATAAACATTTGACTTCCTAAAGAAGCTAGGAATTGATCATTTAAAAATATTTATGCATAAAAACAATAAATTTTTACAATTCAAACTAAAAGATGTGAAACTAGTATTAGTAAGCGACATATAACTGGTAAATTTTGAAAAGTTAACATCAGCCAACGAAATATTGTTAAAGATATTGATCGTCAAAAGGCAACATACTAATATGTAATACCAAAAGTAGTAAACATTTAGTTTATAAACTACACCAATTTTAATATTGCACAATTGTGATAAGGTATATATCAAAGAAGATAAAGAAAAGAAACTAAGAGGAAATTTTGAATAATGGTGCCTCTTTGTGTAATATCGCAAAGAAAATCTCTCTTACTTGTTTACCATACCAGAATTGTCAAATATTAAAAACGGTGTGGCTTATAACTTAAATATTTACTACATTTGTGGTTGCATATTAGCATGTAGCCATTTCTTCTAATTAGAAGAAATAGTATAAATTATTGTTCTTGGAAAATCCATTGTATATATTAATATGATTATAATGGGTAAATATATGCATGATTTTTTATATCAGTTTTACTTCAATTTACATAAAAGTTTTAAATGCGCTATATAAATCAAATATAAATGAAGAATTGGTAAACTAAAATCAATAGTAAATATAAAGTAGCTATTATTGATATATGTAAATATGTATATATAATTAGTCATGAAATTGTTTTAATAAAGTTAAAAAAATTGTATCGTATTTATTAAAATAAAAGTTCTTTTAATCATGTTGCACATATACGTACTATATTTATATATATGCTGAGCATCTAATAGAAAAGTTAGTATGTGTTCATACATTTCGAGTATTAGGTTGCATTGTTTTAATAGTTTGTTTTAAAAAGATTAATATTAATATAATTTTTTAAAATTCAAAAAAAGTTTGGTATATTGTAATACAATTTTTGCTTGTGCATCAAATTTTTTCAATATAGAGAATCGTAAAAATGTATATACTGTTTACTACTACATATTTTTTGTAGTTTTAAGCAATCCATTCAGTAAGGTGAAATGTTTTTTGTATATGAAATTCAAGAAATTCTTAACTAGTTAATAACAACATTGTAAACAATAAGGATCAATTTCATCGCATAGTGTTAGAAGAAATATTAAATATATAAGCATTTTCCGCACCACCTAAGAGGTATGCTTGCTGACGCGTTACCGAGTTTTAGGTGTTCGGTTCCCCAATAGGCCTATCCACCAAAATGTTTTATTTAACAAATATACAATTTTATGTGAATACAATTTAGAAAAACTTAATATATACAAAATAATATTACTATTTTAAAAATATTTAATATTAAACCAAAAATAATAAGGAACTATTAAATTAAAGATAAATTATAAATAAATTTAATAAATTATAAAATTAAAACTAAAATGTCTTATGTTTAAGCAAAAAATCACTTAAAGAGTATGAACACTTTTGTGCTGTTTATAAGTGTTGAAAGCATAATTGTTTATATTTAATATTCGACACTTTATTATCTCGATTGAAATATTTTAAAATGAAGTAAATTCTTACTTTAATGAAAAAAGATAGAAGAGTTTCAATTTTGCAATTAGAGCAACATATATAGGGATGAACGTTTTCTAATTTATTAAATAAATGTTGCGCTAAACCTAATTTATAGCAATTGCTATCGAACTGATCCGAAAATTGTGATTCTAATTTTTCAATATATGTATATATAATAACAACACTCAATCAAAGTATAATTAATAATATTAATTTCTCTTCAGGATTTTTCCTTTTTTATAATTATTAGTATATCATGGAAAAAATAAAAAATAAAAGCACAACTTAATTCGTAGTTTATTATATACACTAATTAGGCACACATCTAAGTTTCTAATGTGTTAATACATTTATATTTATATAAATTATATTTACATTTACTTTATTCTTCAACAATAAATTGCGTTATTTTTAATTAATAATATACCTTCGATAATCGTTTGGAAAAATATAGAGATGTTTGAAATTTAAACATCCAAGTACGCACTTCCGTTTCAATTGTAAATAAATTTTAATTAACTAATAATTCATATATTTTTCTGGAATAATTACCTTTTTTTAATGCTTTTATAATTGAAAACAAATTCCGCCTTATTTTTCTTTTAGTAATGTGGTATTTGTGCACTTAATTGCAACTTTGGCGCATTTTCTCGTAACGGATTTTTAATGTCAAAAAACAAAAACAAACAACGAAATTTCTCAGAAACCTCTCTTACTTTAGCAAATATCGTGGTGAGTAGGGACCGGGTGGGCAAAGTATCAGGGTCCGGGTGGGGAAAATATTCACGCGCCATTATGTAGCATTAGGCTTTTTGTTATTGTACTGCGTAATATTTTCACCTCATTACACAAAATTTTTGAATATTTTTTGAATAATCCAGAAAAATTTATACACAATTTTTCGAGTAACTCTCAGTTTCTTTTCTTTATCTTCTTTGGTTGAAAGCATAATTGTTTATGTTTAAAATTCGACACTTTATTATCTCGATTGAAATATTTTAAAATGAAGTAAATTCTTACTTTAATGAAAAAAGATAGAAGAGTTTCAATTTTGCAGTTAGAGCAACATGTATAGGGATGAACGTTTTTTAATTTATTAAATAAATGTTGCGCTAAACCTAATTTATAGCAGAAACCTCTCTTACTTTAGCAAATATCGTGGTGAGGAGGGACCGGGTGGGGAAAATATTCACGCGCCATTATGTAGCATAAGGCTTTTTGTTATTGTACTGCGTAATATTTTCACCTCATTACACAAAATTTTTGAATATTTTAGAATAGTCCAGAAAAATTTGTACACAATTTTTCGAGAAACTCTCAGTTTCTTTTCTTTATCTTCTTTGGTATATATGTAAGAGAAATTTTTTTGCGATATTACACAAAGAGGCACAATTATTCAAAATTTCCTCTGTTTCTTTTCTTTATCTTCATTGTATAGAATCTTCTCTTCTTATTACTGTTCCAATAACTCATATGATATTTTACCCTACGCTACTATATCTAATACCATTACATTATTATTATTGACTTTATATTATATGTTGGCAACATCTACAAAGCACAAATAGTTCGATCACACAAAGCCACATTCCCATAAGCAGATTCTTAGTTTTAATTAGATTACAAACATATAATGTTTCATATAAAACTTTAATTTAATAATTTTATTATTATTTCAGTTACAGCGGATATATGAATAATACCAATTTAATTGTGAAAAAAAAAATTTGTAAATAAAATTAATAGTGGAAATAAGTGGTACTGCAAATAAATAAAAACAAAGACTTTTGTTACATTGTTATTTTAACATATATAAAATGTTTTCGAAAAAGAAAAAGAAACCACTTATTTCAATGCCTAGTAATTTTGAACACCGTGTTCATACTGGTTTCGATAAACAAGAGGGGCGTTATGTCGGTTTGCCACTGCAATGGGCATCAATAGTAGGTAATAACCAAATATTAAAATCAACTAATAGACCACTACCTTTGGTAGACCCTTCGGAAATTACACCAACAGAAATCCTTGATCTGAAGACAATTGTGCGTCCACACCACAATAATAATAAGTCAGACACAACGTCATTAAACAATACCTGCTTATTAACTAATACTCATAGTTTTAAATTACATACACATCACTTAAATGATAATACGGGCTTAAGTGGCTTGATGCTACCAAAAACGTCTCATGTAGCACGATCGAATTCATTACGTAGCTCAAGTCCCCCAAGAGTACGGCGCGATCTTCGAGGAAATGCAAATGTTCCACCCATTGTGTTGGAAGAAAACACACCTTTACAATCAACAACATTATCGGAAAATGTCATACATTCAGTAGACTTAGCTTGTAGGGCCCAAACACAATCAAGTATAAATACAATCAATACACAAAGTTCAGGTCAGAACGAGTACATGAGTCAAAATACTTTAAATAGTAGTGGTCCTTTAACTGTTAGAACAGATTTGCCTGCTCCACATATATTACACAATCAATATCGCTTCGGCTTGGGAGTTGATCAGATGACTAATCAACAGATTTCTCCAGTTGGCTGTAATGCAGGCAACATACTTTCTACACATTCTTATTCTCACGCAACAAATAAGACAAATTTCCTTATATATCCTTCACCACGAAATTCTACCGTTGCAAATTCAATGCATGCAGTATCCCAACAGCAACTAAAAGTAATATCATCTACGCAAGTTACAGCTGATCAGAATCAAAACCATCCTCATAATTCGAACTTATATGCTAAGTCCTCTTCACGTGGTTCCAGCTCTAGTGGAGGAGCAAGTGGAGTAGGAGTAAATAACACTAGCATGGGGACACTTATATCACCACCGAAGCAAGAACAACGGTTAACGCATGAACAGGTTTTATTTAAAGTATAAATAATCATATAATTAATTTTTATTCATAATTTTTAGTTTCGTGCTGCTTTACAAATGGTTGTATCTGCTGGAGATCCACGTGAGAACTTAAACAATTTTATGAAAATTGGTGAAGGTTCAACTGGTACAGTTTGCATCGCTACTGAGAAATCAACAGGTACTAAAGGAGTTTGTTTCTTTTGTTTAAATATTAAGTGGGATAATTTTATAGTGAAACTCGCCTGATAACAGTAGTAATGTTTTACATGCTTGTTTTTCTTATAGTTTTCTAGGTCGTGTGAGAGTTAGGCTAAGTAGCGTTCTAAATGAGGAAAATTCTAAGTTGTGCCGATAATGTGGTGATGTGTCGATACGTAAATGGCTAAATGTGTGCAATGCAAAAAAATCCCAAAAAATCTCACATTTGGTTTAGCATCAACTTGGCCTAACTCGCACACGTCCCTAATATGTAATTATAGCAGAAGCGATTAACAAAGCTAAGGGTTATTGAAAATGGTATCTCTCAGATTTAACCTATTGCAAAACATGCAAATATACTTACATATTTTGCAAGTTAATATGTAGCAGTAACTGTTCTACAATTATTTTTTTTTTTAAATTAGGACGACAAGTCGCAGTTAAAAAAATGGATTTGAGAAAACAGCAAAGACGTGAACTTCTTTTTAATGAAGTAGTTATTATGCGGGACTACCATCATCCAAATATTGTTGAAACATATTCAAGTTTTCTTGTAAATGATGAGTTATGGGTTGTTATGGAGTATTTGGAAGGCGGTGCTCTAACAGATATTGTTACGCATTCACGCATGGATGAGGAACAGATTGCCACAGTTTGTAAACAATGTCTGAAAGCACTTGCATATTTACATTCGCAGGTATATGTTTCAAAACGATATAAATTAGTGACCGAATTAAAATATTTTTAAATAAACGTTTGAATTTGAAAAAAAATACTTATAAATCGTATGCAAATATTTTATACCATTTGCACAATAATAAACGAAATATTTAGAGAGGTGACAAGATATTTTTGAAATCAAAATGTATAAATAGTATAAATTAATTAGTCTGATGAAACAAATAACATCTTTTTATTTTTCTGTTTTAACTCATCTTTTTTTTTGAAACATCGTTATGAACTGAACGATATAGATTTTGCTACATATATTAATGTGGTATATTAAATGAACCGGACGGTTTTTATAAATTCGAACTTTTTTAAATAGACATATATTTGTTAACTCATAACAAATTTTGTTTTTAAACCATTTGAGTTGGATGACATTTTTATATTTAAAGCATTATTTTCGATAGGTAATACACAGTAATAATTTATATTTATTAAGAGAATAACTTGCCTACAATTTATAAATATCAAATAATGTTAAGTATTAGTCATTTATTACATTTCTTTCCTTTAGGGTGTAATACATAGAGATATTAAATCAGACTCTATTCTTCTGGCAGCTGATGGAAGAGTTAAATTGTCTGATTTCGGTTTTTGCGCGCAAGTCTCACAAGAACTACCAAAACGTAAATCGCTTGTTGGTACACCTTACTGGATGTCTCCAGAAGTAATATCACGTTTACCTTATGGACCTGAGGTTGATATATGGTCTTTAGGAATAATGGTAATAGAAATGGTAGATGGGGAACCACCTTTTTTTAATGAACCACCGCTCCAAGCAATGAGACGCATTCGTGACATGCAGCCACCAAACTTAAAAAACGCTCACAAAGTTTCCCCAAGGTTGCAATCCTTTTTGGATCGAATGCTAGTGCGTGATCCTGCTCAGCGTGCTACAGCGACAGAACTCTTAATACATCCATTTTTAAGACAGGCTGGTACGCCATCTTTACTTGTACCACTTATGCGTAATATAAGGCAATATTAAAACAAAACATTTCAATAATACATTTTTGTACATTTACCTACATTTAGTTTTAATTTTATTTTGCTATATCTGCATTATTGATGTATGAATCTGTTCATGAACTCATATTTTCCTTATATTGCATTTAAATTTTAAATAACTACACTTAAGTTTTATCGACCTACAATATACGATAATTGCATAAACTACTATTAAGTTACTCCTAATAATGTTCGTGTTTAATTTAAATATTATTTTATATCTTAGAGGTAATTATAATAAAATATAATTTATTGCGTAAATGTTAAATGTGCCTTTAGAACATTTTATATGAAAATATTGAACCATAGTGTTTTCCATTATGTATTTCAGAAATAATAGGAAATATAAATTAATTTGGTTATTATTATTTGTTAAATATAAATTCCTTATACTGTTCCATTTTTTAAAAATAATTGTATTTATATTACTATTTACTTTCTTAAGCCGTGAAGTTATTTTCCAGGAAACCCGTAATTTATTTACAATTGTCCCATAAATATGTGGTTATATATTATTCTGTAACATTCCATCTGTAAATTAAATTAAGTTTTCATAAAATGTAAATTTTGAAACTATGAAAATCAAGTAAAAAAACTGTATTCTGTTATATAATATGTTCTGCATATATGATAAATTTTGTTTGATTTTTACATAAAATGATTTCAGAAACTCATCAAAATGTATTTGTGGCATAATATATCTCATGTACTGCTATAAAAATACATTTAGCCGGTATAATAATATGAGTTTTACCGTTTTCAAACAAATTGATTTTTATTTAAATTGTAATCTAAAATAAAAATAAATGGAAATCTATTTTGATATAAAAAACAATTTTAACCAATATAATAATAATATGAGTTTTATTTTTATGAAGTATGATTGATTTTTATTTAAATTGTAATATAAAATGAAAATATTAATAAAAACGCAAATTAATTTTAGTTTGAGTTGACTTTCTGCTTAAATACTGCTAAACTTCGTTGTAATTTATTTAGACAACTACGCAGTCGTACATCCTTCCCTGCACCTCGCTTTGCTTCTACAATTTCTACTTCTACAATAAGAAAGTTCATCACTTTGTCAACTACATCTACACAAATTGGTACAAATTTCATTAGAAGTTCAAAATAAAAAAAAGAATAATACGCAAGGTGCTTCTTTGCAATTAAACGAAAATATTCCGTCATTAAATCTTTAAGACTGTGTGAATTTATAAATATAGTACATCCTGTTAATTGCTTAAAATATTCCAACAATAAAATTCTACTTGGTACAATTTCGTCAACCATCATTATATGTTCGAGAGTTAAAAGGCAGCTACCTTTCATTAGCGTTTCCAATCGTTTTTCATTTATTGGGTGATTCCCAGAGCATGCTTCAACGACTTCTTTATATATCGTTATAACAAGACAGGCATTGATGTCTGCCTGTCTGCGCTGCGTTGCCAGAAATATATTTGTAAGCTTTTCGAACACAAATAAAGAAAGTTCATAATTTTCACTTTGCAGGCAAGTAATAAATGGACGTGCCACAACCTTCGGGTTATTAGAGATTTTAAAAATTGGAGTCCATTTCTGTATTAAATCATTAAGTGTATTGTTGATGTATGGATCCGATTTAAAACTTAAACGGCCAATACCTTGCACTATTACTGGCCATATTTTATGAACGAATTGGGGTACTTTACCTTCTGGGACTTTGCCCATTTGTACGTTCGTCGTTAATATAAACCGTGTTATAGCAATATGGAAAAAACATGTTATTTTAGATTTTACGTATACTATGTGTGAGCAATTGTAAATAACAATAGCAAGAAAACTATAAAAGCGAAACAATACCTCGGATCTTTCCTGTTTAATATCTGTGGGTATCCATTTTTCAAAGTTACATAAGAAGCTATTGAAGTTGTCTGCAATTTCACATCGTTCTTTAAAATCCATGCAAGATTCGTATTTTTTTCCAACCGCCGCTATAAAAACACAAAGTGGTTCTTTGGATTTGAATATTTCATCAGCATTTAAATTTGTCATTGATTTAAATACTGGCATTGTTACAATTATTTTTGTCAAGCTGGCGACTTCCTCATTTTGTGCATTAAGTAATACTAAACTTCTTAGCCAAACTTGAAAAATTGTAACAAAATCGACTAAATTATTTTTATCGTAGTCAAGAACTTTAGAGAGAAATATTGGTAACGCTTGTTTATTTGCCGTTTGTATATCAATAAAATATCTAAACAGTTTTTGAAAGCTAAGTACATCTGAGGTAATATTGTAATGATTACAAAAGTCTGCAGCAAGTTGAGGTAACAATGGACTGAATCCAGTACTGTAATGTTGTTTGAGGAAAGGTAAAATATATGTATTTAATGATCGTAAAATATCAATATCAGCATCAAAAAAGTATCCATTGGTTCGAATATTAGAAAATATAAGATGTATAGCTTTAAGTGGGCGTTCCTGTTCGACAGGAGTACAGTGTTTTAAAAAAATTGGTATCCAGGCATTAATTAACAAATGTTCTCCGCGACGGTAGTCATCTGCTAATTTCAATATATCCATTAACGCATCGGAAAAAATTTTAGAAACCGATACATTATTATGTATATAAGAAAGTTGTTGTAAAAGTTTCATAATATATTCACTAAGATCAGATTTGTGTTCAGCATAAAGTGTCAGTAAAGCCATGTGTCCTCTAGCAACAATTAGTTGCTTATTTATTGTGATCTTATCGAAGGATATAGATAAAAATATATCTCGCAACTTAGTGGCTATAGCATTAAATTCGCAACATAAAGCCAGAATAAGGACTAATTGAATAAGGTGATGTATTCCTGTGTCGTTTAGAGCTAGAAACTTTTGTACACTAAATTTACTATAAATGCGACCCAATATTTTTTGAACTTGATTATTCGAGGGTTGTTTAATTAATCTTTTTAAAATTTTACCAAGTATTAGTGTAAATAATGAGTAACTACTCATATTTGCATCTATTTTCTGATTCTCAAGCATCGAACGATATTTTTGTAAATAAGAGTTTCCTGTATTACATACCAATGCTAAAGTGCTAGATGCAACGCGAGTAGTATAAAAAGATGAATTAAATCGTTTGTAAAAATGCTCCCATAATATCATCGGTATGTTAACCTTTGGACGCCACCATTGTACTACTATAGGTGTTAACAAACATAAAAAAGTCCGAGTTTGTTCTTCATTTGGATTTGAATGAAAAAATTCTTGCACACAATTTTCTAAACATTCCTGGTTTTCTGCTCCTTCACTTTTTGCTCGTACATATGTACACCCCTCGAAATCTCCATTTGAACGGTAACCATAAAGAAATGTTAATGTATGGATCATCCAGTTTACAAATTGGTAAAAACTTGTGGGCGTTAAAGAATAACTACCTAAGAACTTATTTTATCAGTCATTTTAAGCTAAAATTATAATACAATTCAATAATTCAATATCTACTTACTCATGTGAGTTTTTAAATTCAAAATTCTCTTATTAAATAGCGTCCAAAAATAAAGCTTATTGTCTATGGAAACGTTTATGTTTACAAACCATTTCTCGAACATTAACTGTAATAACAACCAAAATTCTTTGAAGCATGTACATGAGAATGGCGTAGTATACAAAATTTCTGCTGGACGTTTTTTGTTAAAAACAAAAAGAGAACAAATAAGAAGATCATCAAGAACTTTTTCTATTTGCTTTACTAACATCTGCAGTTTTTCTTCAAGCACGTCGTTTTCATTGATATTTGTATTATATTTGTATAAAATACATAAATCTAAAAGTTTCCATTCCAACATTCCATGTAAAAAGTGATAAGATGGTATATTGCATTCATTTCCCTTATTATTTCCTGCTAAAAAGACCAATTTCCAAGTATTTGGGTCGGATAAACTGTTTAATAATCTTCGGATCCTTGTGCACTTTGAACTTAAAATTGGCAACTGCCTCCTTACAGTTTTATGTAACATTAAATAAAGAAATTGAGTCACTTGACGACGCCTTTGATAAAACGATAAGTCCTTAGATATACCGACAATGGGGTGAAGTATATTTAAATGAAGATACTGAATGTCCATGCTAAAAATTTGGAAACATTATTACTAAAAATTAACTCTGGTAGTTATTTATTTTTACCATACTTCACCAATTACGCATTCAATTGGTGATGAACAAAAATGTTTGAATTGAAAATCGTATGTAGTTAAATACAATTCACTAATTATTTTATTCTGAAATTCGCATGTATTATTTAAAAACCCATTTTTAATAAATCCTTCCGAAGAAAATTTTGAATATATGGAGTCTTCTCCGATACATTGAAATTCAGGCAAAATTTCATTAAGTAGCTCTGGTTGCTGAAACTGCGTGGTTGACAAATTCACTGAAGCCAATATATTATCATCATCATCATCTGACGCAAATAAATCAAAATCCATTTTTCAGTATTAATTTTTAGATAATATTAAAATTTAATATCAATTTATTCAAAATGTAAAGGAACGCGTATCAGTATTCTGAAACAGCTGATAAGAAATAAATCCGCGACACAAAGAATCGTGTGTTCAATGAATGCCGTTTGATTTTTATACAAATTGTAACTAAACGTTGATTTTTCCCGCAATTTTTGTTGTTTCACAAAACTTGTGCCATATGTTTGTGCTAAAATACAATTTTAAATAACTACAAAACAATTTTATGTTTGTGATGTATGTTAAATGAACGTTAAACAATTTAGTTAATATAACATTTACAAATTAATGAGACTTTTTATGAATAAATAATTTACAAACTCATAGCGATGTTTATTCAAGATTTGAAAGAAGAATTTTATGGTCGCTTAGTTGGAAAGCGTATTTTGATGATTGTAAATTATGATATTGATGCCATTTGCGCTAGTAAAATATTACTAGAACTGTTTAAGTATGACCACATGCTTTATTCAGTTGTGCCAATAATGGGTATAGCAGGTTTGCGTCGTGCGTATGATGAACATCAGTGCGATGTGAAATATGTGGTGCTTGTTAACTGTGGTGGCTGTGTTGACATAGTTGGAATGTTACAACCAGTCGACGATGTTACATTTTTTGTGTGTGATTCTCATCGACCGTTTGATGTTTGTAATATATACAGTGATAAGCAGGTAATTTTGTTATAACCTTATAGTAGTAAAAGACAATATATTTATTGTATTGCTTCTATTAGATTTGTATATTAGCTGATCCAACATTAGAGGGAAATATTCCTGCCTTTGAGTCGATATTTTGTGAATCTGATAATGAAAATGCTGGGTCTGATGATAATAGCACTGGAGAATCTGACAATGGTGATTGTCAACAAGTTGAAAAGTTAAGCCGATTCGAGAAACACGATCGCAATATACTAAAGCATCGTCAAAAACGTTCCTGGGAAAATGAACGTAACCGTATCATGTTTCAATATACGCAATACAGCTACTACGGTCGTTCGTCTGCGATTATTGTCTATGATCTTGCATGGAAGCTTTCAAAAGATAATATGGATTTACTTTGGTGGGCAATAGTAGGAATTACAGAACAATTACTTTTAGGAAAAATAGAAAGTTCCGCTTACACATTAGAAATTGAATGTATACAATCGCATATATCACGATTAACTCATAAAAATAATGATCAAGGCAATTTAAATACATCAAAAATAAGTTTTGAGAATGACCTGCATTTGGTACTTTATCGTCATTGGAGTGTCACTGAATCTATAAAGTAACATAGAAATGTTTAAAGAAAATAAAATGTTGTGTAAAATCTATTTTCCAGATATTCAATGTATTCTGCATGCAAACTTAAACTTTGGACACTTCGTGGTGAAAAAAAGCTTCATGAGCTTCTCGTGGAAATGGGATTGCCTTTGGTTCACGCTAGACAAACTTATAAATCTATGGATTTAGTGCTACGCCAAGAACTAACTTCCATGTTTGAAAAATTGGCTGAAAAATATGGCATAACTGATATTATATATGGATCATTTACTCTGAGCTATGGTTATCGTAATCGTTATTCAGGTGCAGATTATGTTTATTCAATGTTAGCTATATTGGAATCAGTTAAAAGTGATAAGACGCCAGAATATTGCTTTTTGGAAGCTCTAGACAGTCTATCTAGAACTCATAAGAATATATTAGCAGCTGGTATCGAAAAAGCGAAACTTTTGTTAGCAGCTGTTTTTCGGCAAGTCCAAACGGTTCTAGAAGCTCGTCAAATTCATTCGACTGGCTCGTTTTTTTATTATGTTCTTAATGAAGAAAATTCCTTTTTTTCGTATCCCTATGGATTGTTGCTGCTAGCAAAATTTATATTAAATGGTCATGTTACAGTTTCACGTAATAGACATGCTTCACAGTTGCCTTTAATTGCTAGCTGTCCAATAGATTTAGAAAGTGGTCAATGTTTACTAGTAGGTATACCACCGCTAAGTGAACATTCGAATAAAAATTTCTTTGGCAAAGCGTTTGAACAGGCTGCTGTGAAAAGTAATGCGGCTGTATTACAAGACTTTTTTGAGGGATCTTTAATACAAATTAGACAAAGTGATCTAACTAATTTTATTGATGCATTAACTGTACTCCTCACATAGATGATTCTAAAATCAGTGGACTTAAAATATGTCATATTTTTTAAAGCTTTAAACAGTGTGAAATTGGAGTTTCCACAGTCATGTCCTAAACGATAAGAAATGTGAAAAATAAATACTTTGATAATTCAAATTTAATTGAGCTAGTAAAATATCAAATTTAGATATTTTAAATTTAATTATAGAAAATATATGTAATTAATTTTTAAATGGATCAGTTTATTTGTATTTTATATTTATTTAAATGTTATAGGACTTAAGAATATGGTATAAAATTAAAGAAATGTAAATGTATAATGTTTCACTGATATTTTCATTTTATTTGGTATTAAAAGATTTTATAATGCGTGCTGAACCAAGACATTCTTTGCTATAATTATAGAAAACTGCATACTGTCCAGGAGTGATGGCGCGTAATGGTTCTTTTAGATATATCTTTATATTAGTATCACCCAAATTTCCTACTACTTTACATTTAACTAATGGCTTAGTGTGTTGAAAACGGAAAAGACAGTTCAAAATTGGACTTAACTTCAAAGGATCTTCGCATATCCAGTTAATTTCGGTTACTACTATTTCATTGCTAAATAATGATTGATGATCGTGACCGGAGGCAACATAAATATTATTCGTTATAACGTCTTTTTTTGCTACAAAATATGGCTTTAGATATGAGTGCAATCGACAGCGTTGCCCAATTGTCCATTGATGAATGCCTTCATGTCTTCCTACTATTATTCCAGTATCGATATCAATGAAACTGCCCACTTCAGAAGGAATATACTATTTTTTGTGACAATTGTTTTGTTTAATATAAAAGTTTAAACACCAATTAATTCTTTTAAATATAAATACCTCTCTTATAAAATTCTTGAAATTTCTATGCCCAACGAAACATATTCCAGTACTTTCTCTCTTATTTGCTAAATTATTTAACCCAATTTTTCGAGCAAGTTTCTTCACTTCTGTTTTGTAAAAATTTCCTAAAGGGAACATTGTACGCCGAAGGGACGATTGCTTTATACCAGATAAAAAAAATGTTTGATCCTTAAATTCGTCTGTTGGTATTAAGAGCCTGACGTCTGAAACGCCTCATTGGTAAGAATAACGTGTAAAAAAAAATAATTAAAACACTACCGCCATCATAACTATAATTTTCCAAATAAGATCCAAACGTTGTTTTTGCATAATGACCGGTGGCTATAGCATCTAATTTCAAGTTTTCGATAGCATATTTGTAGAAAACATCAAATTTGATATATTTATTGCATAATATATCTGGATTAGGTGTAAGTCCATTTTGGTAGTCTTCTAAAAAGCTCCTAGACAATATTAATCAGATTTATGTATAAAGTACTATTTAAAATAAATATATCTAGTACACGATTGCTTAAGTTTAATCTGTTTACACGAGATTTTTATAAGAGATTATTCATATGTTATATAAAAACCTATTTCTTACGCAAACACCGAATTCCAGTAATCTTTCACGTAATTAATGCGCTTCAATTCGATATTTAATTTCTTACAAGTGTATTCTGCATCGACCAAATCATGTTCACCAGAGCATTTTCCAGCTTCATCTAGTTCGTCCCAATTTTTCATAAAAAGTCCTATAACTTTGTAACCTGAAACAAATATTTACAATCTTGTAGACTGAAGTTATATATTAATTTTTACCAACCTCTTTCTTTCAACAAATATGCACATACAGCACTGTCAACACCACCAGATATCGCGATAGCCACATTTCGAAACATGTTAAATAATGATGTGCGTGAAGATATGTGCGTGAAGATAGCGTAGTTGACAAGTCCAAAATGGAGTTGGAACGGTTTCTGCCGCATGAAAAATGAATTATAATTTAATTAAGGAAACATTTTTTATATTATTAAATTTAATGCAGCAAAAAGCATTATTAAGTAGAAAATCCAATTTATTTACTATCTCCATCCAACTTTTATGTATAAATGATGTAATTTGTATGAAAAACGAAAAAAAAAATTCAGCCCCTAAAGATGGGGTCACTAATTTAATATATTTTAAATTAGAGATACCATTTTTTTCTTTTATGGCTCATTGGAAAGAGGATAAAATTACCTTTCATATAATGTAAAGTTATGTATAGGTTGTTTGATTAACTTAGGAGCAGTTAAGCCAATTAACGGTCAGCTCTTTATTTTTTTCTTATATTATCAAATTCAACTTTAACTAGGGGAATTTGTAGATCTTGGTGTATACTTTCATTCCTAATATACCATGTGGCACCAGTGATTATTCTTAGTATTTTTGACTGAGCTCTTTGCACAATTTCAATATTTGAAGCACTAGCATTACTAAATAGCTGAACACCATAAGTCCATATTGGTTTTATGATGCTGTTATACAAGATTACTTTATACTCTAGGCATAGGAAAGATCTGTTATTAATGAGCCAATGCAACTTAGAGGCTTGGAGCTTCATCTTTTTCATAGCTTAGACTAATATTTTTTTCCGTGGGTTTGGTTTTACTAATAATAGCTTAATTCTATTGTTTTGTTTTACAATAATAATAATAACTTCATGCTATTTTCAACTATCATAATTTATTTGTGACGCGTTGGAAAAAATCGTCACAACGTCTATCACAAATAATATAATTTCACAGAATATAAATACAAAGAATAATTCTACATCAAGAAATATCAACACAAGTTGAATTATATTATTTCAAATGGTCGAATTACGTCTATCATAAATAATATAATTTCACAGAATGTAAATACAAAGGATAATTCTACATCAAGAAATATCAACACAAGTTGAATTATATTATTTCAAGTGGTCGAATTACGTCTATCACAAATAATATAATTTCACAGAATATAAATACAAAGGATAATTCTACACCAAGAATTATCAATACAAGTTGAATTATATTATTTCAAGTGGTCGAATTACGTCTATCGCAAATAATATAATTTCGCAGAATATAAATACAAAGGATAATTCTACACCAAGAATTATTAACACAAGTTGAATTATATTATTTCAAGTGGTCGAATTACGTCTATCACAAATAATATAATTTCACAGATAATAAATACAAAGGATAATTCTACATCAAGAAATATCAACACAAGTTGAATTATATTATTTCAAGTGGTCGAATTACGTCTTTAGTATATTCCGCCCTGGTGTGTATATGAACCGCGCAACCGTGCCTGAACGAAGGCAAAGAATGACTGGCTTGTGCACAAGCGCTGTTGCTCTATTTATGCATTAATTGCATTCCCGTGTTTCGTTTTGTTCACATGTTCGAGCATGCACACGTTTGGCTGGTGCTGCGAACATGCACATGTTTGGCTGGTGCTGCGAACGAGCACTTGTTTGGCTGGTGCTGCCACAGTACCCCCCTCCTAGCGGGGGAGCGCATGTGATACCGCGCTATCGCCTTGTTATCGCTCTATTTGGTGAATGCGCGCAACTTGGCCGGAAAATGCACTGTTCTGCCTGCGCGTGTGACCACAGATCTGGGTTCCTGCTGGTCTTTGAGGACAGGTTCGAATCCTGGTGCTAGTACTGAAGGCGGTTCGGTTGCTCTGCTGCTGCCAATGTCATCTGAAGTCATGAATGCTGGTTTCAGCCTATCTACTGCTACTGTGACATCTTTATCTTTCACGCTGATGACGTAGTTTTTTTCATCGCGACGGACTACTCGATAAGGGCCTTCGTAAAGCTGTTCTAGCGGTGCCCGAACGCGATCGATGCGTAGGAATACATACTTGCTCTCTGACAGCTCGCTGGGTACAAAGACTGGTTGTTGACCGTGTCGCAGTCCAGGTTGAGTTCGTACATTACCTAAGTTTCTGCGCAGTAACTTTACGAAATCTGTTTCGCTTGGTTTGGTTTTGACTTCTGTCAGCAACTGTCCCGGGACTCTGAGAGGGTTGCCGTATAACATCTCTGCCGGACTAGCGTTTATGTCTGCTTTCAGCGCTGTCCTGAGGCCCAACATTACTAAAGGAAGAACTTGGTTCCAGTTACTGGAATCGTGACAACGTATGGCTGCTTTCAGTGTTCGGTGAAACCGCTCGACCATGCCATTGGCTTGGGGGTGGTAGGCTGTTGTGCGCCAATGTTTTATTCCTAGTAGTTTCGTCACCTCTGTAAATATAGTGGACTCAAGTTGACGTCCTAAGTCGGTTGTGACTGCATGCGGGGTGCCGAAATGTGAAACCCAGCCATCAATGAATGCTGCTGCCACCTCTTCTGCTGTGATGCCCACTAAAGGAATGGCTACTGGCCAACGCGAGAAACGATCGATGCATGTGAGAATATAACGCTTTCCTTGCGACGGTGGCAATGGGCCCACTATATCCAAGTGAATGTGAACCTTAGATTTTTGGCATGCAACACACCTTCGGACGAAAATTGCTGTATCTTTAGCTATACCGGGCCACACGTATTTTGTTTGGACGATTTTGCGAGTTGCCCTGATTCCGGGGTGAGACAAGGAGTGCAGCTTGGACAATACCTGCTGCCTGCAATTTGCTGGAACGTATGGGCGAATGTAAGTGCTGGAAACATCGCAGTACAGCTCAACGTCTGAATCTGGTAGTTTTCACTTTTTTAATACTAACGTTTTTCCGGGCTGCTCGTCTAACAATTTCTGCAGCTCTGGGTCTGTTGTCTGTTCAACCGCAATTCTTTCCACCTCGCTTGCTTCACACTGGACTGTTGCAATTCGAGAAAGGGAGTCTGCTACCACATTATCAGCTCCCGCTATGTGACGGATATCGGTCGAATATTGGCTCACAAACTCTAGTTGTCGTGCTCGTCTAGGAGATGCTTTTTCGCTTGCTTGCTGGAATGCATACGCGAGTGGTTTGTGGTCGGTGAATATTATAAACTCGCGGCCTTCTAACGCATACCGGAAATATTGGACAGCTTGATAAACCGCTGTCAATTCTCGATCATAGGCGCTGTATTTCATTTGTGCTGGACTCAATTTTCTTGAGTAGAACGCCAATGGCTGCTGCACTCCGTTTACTACTTGCTGGAGAACGGCTCCAACTGCATCTCCTGAGGCATCAGTTGTAAGAGTCAGCTGTGCATCTGGCGCCATAAAGCTAAGCAGGGCGGCCTGCGCCAGTTCATCTTTACACTGCTGAAACGCCGCCACGGCATCAGGCGTCCAGGTGATTGCTGTTTGATCATTTTTGCGGTTGCCAGGCGTTAGCGAAAACAAACGTTGTTGACTGTGAGCGGCACCTCGCAAGAATGGGCGATAGAAGTTTATCATGCCTAGAAACTGCCGTAACTGCTTAACGGTTTTAGGTAGCGGGAACTCACGTATAGCCTGCACTTTACTCTCTGGGGGGCGAAATTCTTCGGCTTCAATCACATGTCCCAGAAACTCGATCTTCTTCTGGCCAAACTCACACTTACCGAAATTCACTGCTAATCCAGCTTGCCTTAAACGTTCGAACACTTCACGTAAGTGCTGTTCATGCTCTACGTCGTTTTTAGGTGCGATGAGGATGTCATCAATATAAGCGAATGCGAAGTCTAAGTCACCCAACGTCTGGTTGATGAATCGCTGGAACGTTTGAGCTGCATTGCGGAGTCCGAAGGTCATAAATTTGAATTCGAACAAGCCGAACGGGGTTATAATGGCTGTCTTTGGTATGTCCGCGGCTGCCACTGGAATCTGATGGTACGCCTTCTGCATATCTATCTTTGAGAACACAGTTTTTGCCTGAAGGATAGACGTCACGTCATGTATAAATGGAATTGGGTAGCGGTCGGGCTTCGTCTGTGCGTTCAGCATTCGATAGTCGCCGCACGGTCGCCAACTTCCATCACCTTTACGCACCATATGGAGTGGGCTAGCCCAACAGCTTTTAGATGGCTGGCAGATACCTGCTTGCAGTAAAAACTGGAACTCATTCTTAGCTTCTTCGAGTTTGCTGCCAGTTAGACGTCTCGGCCGGGCGAATGTTGGTGGGCCTGTCGTTTCGATGCAGTGCTCCACCGTTGTAACGGTACTTCGTCGATTTATGCTCATTGTCGCCAGGTCACGGTACTCATGTAACAGCTCGACGTACTTCGTACCTACGCTGCATACGCGTATCTCTATCGTTTGCACCTTGGTTGTATCACCTTTAGCCGCCATAGTGGTTTTGTTGTCTACCAGTCGCTTTCGTTTCATATCCACCAATAAGTCATAGTGCCTTAGAAAATCGGCACCGACGATAGGGCATCTGACGTCTGCTACGACGAAAGTCCATGGGAAATCTCTGCGCAACCCAAGGGACAACTGAAGACGCTTCTCCCCGAACGTGCGAATGGGGGTGCCGTTGGCTGCAAACAAATTCACTGATGAAGCGCTGCTCGTTTTGCACGAATTACGCAAAAATGACCGCGGAATCACTGAGATGTCGGCACCCGTATCTATCAGAAATATGGTGGACGTTACTGGATCTTTAATGGTGAGTCGAGCTAATTGTATGCTGCCTTCGTTGCGGCTCGACGACGGCGAAGGAGCGCTTAAATTTTTGTATGCGATGATGCTGTAAAATTACATGGCTGTCTGCAACTGCGAGCCTTGCGCCCAAACCTGGAGTGGAACCAGCACCATTCTGGATGATTGCTCGATTGGGAACGTGGTCGGCTGCGGCCTCTCAGTGAACGCCTACCTTGCTGTTGACGGGAGTTCATATCTAGACGACTCAACCGCTGCTCGATTTGGTCTAAGCGCTGACACACTTTTTCTGCTTCGGAACAGGTACTACCGCTGCCTGAAGACATTGCCGAGATCTGATGATAGTCGCCTGCCTCGCAAATCTTGTCAGCCAGTTTAGCTAACTCGCTCAGTTCTACGCTTGATGTTTGAAGAATCGCGCGCACTTGTGGAGGCAAACGCTGGAGCCAGAGTGTTTTCAAGAATTCGTCGCTTACCTTATCCTTCGCCAATGTCGTCAGTTCGTTTAGCAATTGAGTAGGCCGACGATCGCCAAGCTGTACGCCTGATAACAGCCGCTGAATTTTACGCTGCTCTGATTCACCATACCGTTCGATTATTTGTTTTTTTAGGTTCTCGTACCTGTTTGCTGCTGGCGGATGAAGCACTGCGTCAGCCACGTCGGCTACGATGCTGGACTCTATGGCAGCCACCACGGTGTTGAATCTCGTCATGTCGTTGCACA